TATCCCCAGTGCCACCTGCCGTTTCTCCTCTGCCCTCCCAACCCTAAAAGCTGGAAAACGGGGCTCATCCAAAATAAAGGACAGCTCAGAGCTATTCAAGCACCTGGGGATCCGACTCCTCAGAGTTCACAGACAAGAAGCCCACATGCCAGCTTTCTCGAAGAAGAGCGAGATGTTTTGGCGTCCTTTATGCTGCTGTAATCTGGGAACGCCTTCATTTCCCCCACATCGTCGTCATGCTGATGTTCACTGATGGCTACTGTCTGCTGGGAGCCCAATATGGGCCAGTGCATTTCTTTCTCCCACCACCCCTGTGTAAGGGACTGTCTTTCCTCAATTGTACAAACAGGGAAATTGGGACTGAGGGGTCCAATGACTTGCCTAAGTTCTGGTGCCAGGAAATAAACCCTGGCTGGCTGCTTGGGAGGCTGAGCTCCCCACCATGGGCCGCAGCATCTTGGGAGAGTTTAGTCACATGGTGCTGGGATGGGTGCAGCAGGAGCAGTGACAGTCACAGCATTCTCAAGGACCCAGAATAACCAATGCCGGGACGCTTGCTGGGTAAAAACAGCTGCACCACTCCAGCCACATAGCCACTTGAAAGTGTCCAATTTTCTAGAATCCCATGCACTAATTTCACTGAGAAATTGCTAGCAGATATCGATTCTATCAACTGCCTGACTATGACTGTCTAAATGTGTCTTTTGAGGAATGTGCACAATCTTCAAGCTATTCTGTCATCTGGTAAGCAGGGGCACTGTGAGCACGCCGAACACCTTTTGTGTTATAAAATTTGGTTGTCAGCTTTACTTACAGTCCAATCATAAAAGACCCATGAGGATCAAATGAAGCTTGGTCATCCCGACTACGACCTCAAGTGCCATGAAAGCGATGATGCTTGCCTTTCATATTTCTCCCACAACACTGGGTCCTTTCTAGATTTAAGAAAAAGATTCAATCCATATTGTTTTCCAAAATGATTGGCGAGCATTTGTTTAGAAATTTCTGATAGTTTATTTCAAATCAACGAAACACACAAAAATATTTGGCTGACCATGTCTATTTTTTTTCTGCAAGCATGCTTGACTATTTGACAAATGTCCTCTTTACAGAATACCCCTGGAGGACAATCATTTGCACAAAGTGTTTTATGTCATCTCGATGGTAGTTTTTTTTTTTCCTTCCTGATGGAGCTAGCCATGATGATAATAAAGTCATGCTAAATGTATTTTGACAATAATGTGGTCACAGGTATGTAAACGGATGGACAGACAGGAGGAAGGGGACAAAAGTGGATTGCAGCCAGGTGCGGTGGCTCATGCCTGTAATCCCAGAATTTCGGGAGGCCAAAGCGGGGGGATCACCCGAGGTCAGGAGTTCCAGACCAGCCTGGCCAATGGTGAAACCCTGTCTCCACTAAAAACACAAAAATTAGCTGGGCATGGTGGTGGGCACCTGTAATCCCAGCTACTCGGGAGCTGAGGCAGGAGAATCACTGGAACCAGGGGGGCAGAGGTTGCAGTGAGCCAAGACTGCGCTACTGTACGCCACCCTGGGTGACAGAGCGAGACTCTGCCTCAAAAAAAAAAAAAAAAAGAAAAGAAAAGAAAAGAAAAGAAAAGTGGATTACTTTAGGAGTCAGGATTTCCTGTGGGTGCTCTGACTCTCCTGTGATGGAAAGCCCCTCATTAGGGAACACTGTGCTTTCCCACGGCCCCCTTTCCCCCTCTCCTTACTCCCTTCCCTGCCTCTTTCTCCACCCCGCACAGTCACAGATGCTCCAAAGGAGGAGACGGGATCTGTAAGGGGAGTCCTCTCCTCTCATGTCCTAGATTGGAAAGGAATAGGAGAGGAGCCGGGATTTCCTTTTGGAACTGGAAGCTGCCCCTCTTCTCTGCCCACCCAGGGTTGGCCCAGGAGTGGAGCCTGCACAGCAGGCTGACCATGGTGTAGAGAGGATAGGTGTGGGGGCCAGTTTGGAGAAATAGAAGGGGTGGAGGTGGGAGGGATAACGTGGCTGCAGAGCGGCTGGAGAATCCTCGTTTAATGTCCAAGTCATTCCAGATTCCCCTGTTTAATTCAGGGGAATTAACATTCTTAATGTTCGCAAAGTAGGGAGTCTAGGAAGTGAGAAGGGAAAGGCATCGATTCTAAACATGACAATATGCAACATTTAGTAATGTGTCTTTTTATGGGGGACCCCAAGCACCGCATACCCCAGATGCACAGTCTCAGGGGTGTCCTGACGGCCAGGCTTGGTAGCGCCATCTGTGGGGCACTTCCTTTGAAGAGCTGGTTGCCCTGAGGGTTGGTTATAGAGTGGAATGAGGTGATGGGGTGAAGCCACAACGTTGTGGCACATTTGGGATTTTCATGCAAAGGTATTTTTCTGTAAAAGCGTCATTTATATTCCATCAGGTCTCACCATCTTTTTCAAGTTATAGAAACAGAATCAAACCTTCTTAAGTAAAAATTGGCAGTTTGTTGGCTCACACCATTGAAAAGAGATGGTTTCTGGTGGGTCTGAATCCCAGGGTCCAAAGCTGGCAGCAGGACACTGAATTTCTCTTCCTCCTTGCTAGACTGCATCTCAGGCAGGCACATTTCCAAGGCAGAGCAGGCACAAACCCCAGACTCAGGTCATCTGCCAGGCTGGCCATCCCAGGACAAGGGGGCTGTCAGCTCTGCGGGAGCCCTGCTAGGACCTTTCTCCCGGTGGTGGGTGGATGGCGTGGGGCAGGGCCATTCCCACCTGGACTCCACGGAACTAGGGTCCCATAGAAAGAAAGGGAGTGCTCGCCTGGAGGGGAGAAGGGCTGCTGGGTAGAAACCCCACATAGGCTCACTGTACGCGCCCAGTACGATACAAACAGGTGCATAAATGGCAAAAACAAGTGGTAAAGTCAGCATTAGAAACTGCATTCCTGCCAGTTATTAATGACCGTCCAGTTAGGGACATAAAACAGGAATAAACACATAGAGCTATGATTCTCAGCTCAATAAACCTGCCGTTTGTCAGCTGTGTTGGAGGCCAGAGACGGTGTAGGCTCAGTTCAATAAACCGGCTGCTCATCAGCTGTGTTGGAGGACAGACCCAGTGTAGGCTCAGCTCAATAAACTGGCCACTCATCAGCTGTTTTGGAGGACAGAGGCGGTGTAGGCTCAGCTCAGTAAACCAGCCGCTCATCAGCTGTGTTGGAGGCCAGAGGCAGTGTAGACTCAGCTCAATAAACGGGCCACTCATCAGCTGTTTTGGAGGACAGAGGCGGTGTAGGCTCAGCTCAGTAAACCAGCCGCTCATCAGCTGTGTTGGAGGCCAGAGGCGGTGTAGGCTCAGCTCAATAAACCTGCCGCTCATCAGCTGTGTTAGAGGACAGACCCAGTGTAGGCTCAGCTCAATAAACCTGCCGCTCATCAGCTGTTTTGGAGGACAGAGGCGGAGTAGGCTCAGCTCAATAAACTGGCCACTCATCAGCTGTTTTGGAGGACAGAGGCGGTGTAGGCTCAGCTCAATAAACTGGACGCTCATCAGCTGTGTTGGAGGACAGAGGTGGTGTAGACTCAGCTCAGTAAACGGGCCACTCATCAGCTGTTTTGGAGGACAGAGGCGGTGTAGGCTTAGCTCAATAAACTGGACGCTCATTAGCTGTGTTGGAGGACAGAGGCAGTGTAGGCTCAGCTCAATAAACCAGCCGCTTATCAGCTGTGTTGGAGGACAGAGGCGGTGTAGGCTCAGCTCAATAAACTGGATGCTCATCAGCTGTGTTGGAGGCCAGAGGCGGTGTAGGCTCAGCTCAATAAACCGGCCACTCATCAGCTGTGTTGGAGGACAGACCCAGTGTAGGCTCAGCTCAATAAACCTGCGGCTCATCAGCTGTGTTGGACGCCAGAGGCGGTGTAGGCTCAGCTCAATAAACCGGCCGCTCATGGGCTGTGTTGGAGGACAGACGCGGTGTAGGCTGAGGTGAGAATGGGCACCCGCAGTGCAGGGGTTTCTCTCACAGCGGTCCCGCTGGACCCCTTTCCTCATGGCACACTCGGGAGGAGCCAGCCCCAAAGCCGTGCTGACTCATGACAACCGAGGGCCATGTGAGGCAGCAGAGGCCGCTGGCATCTCCTGTTAGCCTTTTCATTTCATTTAGGTGGTGATTCCCACCCTCTGTCTTCTGACACTTGAACGGCAGTCATCAGTAGGGGCAAAGGAGATTTTATTTGAATTCTGGCTTCTTCCTTCATCTCTTATATTTCAGTGGGTATCAGCCAAGGAACAGAGAACAGGAGAGAAATGTGGCAGGAAAAGGCTAAGGGAGAAAGTAGAAAATGGAAATGTGGCCCCTGCAGTATGGAACGTGCAGGAGTAAGGGTAGCCGTTGTCTCTGCTCTCAACGGTCCTAAAACCACGTTGCTGAGTAAAATGTTCAGGTCACCTCCAAACCATGCTGGCCAAAAAGAGGCCTGGGAAGAAGAAAGGCCCCCTAGACACATGCGCTTCCGGGTTTAAGCCTTGGGACCAAGGATGATTGGAATTTTAACTAGTTGTATGCGAGCGTATTTACGGATGAAGATGAAATCTACAGATTAAAATAGCTGGAATGAGCCTCTTCCGTAGACTAAAGTTTAGAGTCACCTGAAAGCATTTGCCTGCTCATCACTGATGTGCAGCTCGGAAGATAAATGCTGTACACTGGGAGCTTGAAAGAGTGACTTTCTTTCCGTTGAGGTTTGAGGTTGGTGATGGGAACACCATCACTTCCTTTGGCTAAATTTTAAAAGTTGTGCAAAAGTCGCAAGTTCCTTTCTTCTGTAGGCTTTCTCTAAAGGGCTTCCTGAACGCGAAAGAAACTCCTCCAATTATTTAAAATGATGTGGAGATTAATGTTTAGAAACAAAAAGCTCACAGGCCTGGTGAGTATGGTAGTAATGCTCTTGCTCATGAAGTTGCTGACTGTAAATATGTCCTGTGACTTAAAGGAATTCTTTCTTCGTTTCCGTTTTCACAGGGCAAAAGTGACTCAGCTGCCTCGAAGACAAAGGTAGCTGGATCCACAGAGGTAAGAAGCATTCCTGTGCATTCGTTTTTTTCCATGTTCACGTGAGTTACATTTTTTTTTAAAGTTAAACACGAAGTCTTGTTCAGTTTATTGAGTTGTTTCACGGTGCCCAGAGTCCAGAAGGGCAAGCTGTGAAGAGCTTTTAGAAGGCTGGACCACTCCACAGGAAAATGTGAATGTTTTGGCATCCTGTGGGGAATCCGAGTGCTTTGTGCAGTGATGTCCTTGTACGGCAGGGGCTGCGTAGCGTGCTAAACTGGGGATGTCATCTTGCCATGTATTATGATTTTAGTTTGATTCTGAATCTGTGCATCACTTTTTGTCCAGTATTCCTTTTAAAACTACGATGTGCCTTCAAAATAAGCTGGAATTACCAGAGGCAGAAGCGAGCCATGACAGCGAGGCAAAAGTGGGGTGCTGAAGCTGCCTGGGGCTGTGTCTGCCCTCGGGGTTTGCAGGTTGGTTGCTGACTCATGTGTGTGGCTCAGCAACAGTTTTTCTAGGAATTAGGACTAAAATAGGTAATTTTAGATGGAGGTAGATTTCTCCTATTTCAAGCATCTATCTGGTTTTAATACCTTTATTAACAAAACATTTTTAAAGATAGTTTAATGGCTGTTTTCAATCCCTTTGGGCTGCATCACGCAGGTGAAATGTAGTAAGTCAGTAATCACGCCACGTGCGGCTGTGATGCCATGGGATTGGTCAGCCTTGGGGCCGCGCCTCTGCAGTGGTCGCCGCAGGCTAAATGGGCCTGCTCCCTGTAGGTGCCAAACGGGTCATTGGAAGTTGGTTGAGCTTATTCTCATCTACGTTGATGCCTTAAACTGTGCTGTAGTTCATGTGAAACAAAAATACTCCTGATTTTCTGGCAGCTTTCCTGAAGCTAAAAAGCAAAAATATAATAATAATAAGGTTAAAAAGGTCTTCTGAGGACAGCATGAGCTCTGCCACAGGGATCTTGCTGGGCAGCGGGTGGCCCTCGGAGCTGCCCAGGGAGGGCACTGCACAAGGGTGTGGCTGCCTTTTCTCAGCGCTGTCGCCAGGGCCTGCAAGTCCCTGACAGGAGAGGCCGAGTCCCACCTGGTTTTAGGTGGTCCCAAATCCTGGATGAGAGGTCCCTGCTGCATTCCATTGCCAGCAATGCTTGACACTTGAATTCCACTGTTTTACTTTTTCCATACTTGTGGTACTACTATCTGGGTCTGAACGCATTTTGCATAAATTGAGTTTCCTTATTGGACGTGGAACTTGTGTTTTGTACGGTTGATGGTGACTGTGCAAAGGTGATGAGTGGGCACACAGAATCTCAAGCTGGTTCTGACGGTTTCAGCTAAGGGGTTAGGCAAATGGCTGACTCCCCAGTTTGGATTACATCCTAACGTACATCAACTCAGCAAACGAGGCCTGCTGGCGTGGGAGGAACACAGTCTTCTCTTCCTTTCTCATCTCTTGTCAGTCTGGTCCATAATCTATTCAAGAAAAAAAGAGTCAAGCTGTAATTGGTGATTCTTAGCGAAACTTGATGTGGCTTTATCCAAATGTGTGACGAACTGTGTTTCTTGGCAAATGAAAACGTTTTATTATTATCTATATCATCCCAATCCACACCTAGCCTGAGCACTCTACAGAAAGATGACACGTTCCAGTACTGGGTGTTTCTCCTCTCTTGGTCATAGCAGTGAACGTTGGGCCAGTGGCACAAGCATGGGTCTGGTGGGTGCTGCACACTGAGTTCAGGGCCGGGGTAGGGTGTGGGCGCCCTTGGAGAGCCGTTCCTTCCTAAGTCAACAGCCAGGCCGGCCAGGCGTTAACCATAAGTGCCGTAGTTGGAATTGGAAAGTGTTCCCAGGAAAGCAGCTGTTTCTGCCAGGACACTGTGTCTGGTCACATCCTAGGGTCAAAGCACGGGAGAACCCCAGGAGCCACGTGGCCACAGAGTCTCTGTGGGCTGAGGGCCAGCAAAATCCCCTCCACTGCCTTTAGCCCTGGAGCAGGTTGAACTCCTGGCAATGTTCCCAGATTCGCCTTGAATTTGATAGGCAGGAACCCCGTAGGTTTAGGATAAAAAACGCAAATCAGATCTCACACAGCATCACCCAGGAGCAGCCCAGAAGTCTGACAAGATAGGAAGGCAGCAGTGATTGCCAGATGAAGGCTTTAACTCTCCCTCTGCTGATCATTCTGTTTTTTTTTTTTTTTTCCCTCTCTCTCTCCCTCCCTACCCACCCCTCTCTGTACATATTTTTAAAAGACTCCACGAAAGTTGATATTCAGCAGATTGTTATACCAGGTTAGAGGATTCCAGGGTCTCCTGCTGAAACTCCTAACACAGACTGAGCCTGTGAGGCAGAGGCAGGTGCCCCTGCTGCTTTGCTAAGCAACATTCGGCCGCTCACCAGGCCGGTCCCAGAAGCGTGGGTGGCACTGACACAGCAGTCAGCGTCTTTCATGGATTTTGCCTAATAAGTCCGCAAGGTGCCTCTAGTTCCACAGCTAATTGTATGTCCTCTTTCTCCAGTGTGAGTTCACTCTTTATGTATTTGCCTTTATAAAAAATGAAATTTTAGACACAAAGGAGGTTCCAGTTCCAAAGGGAGGATGTTTTCTTTTGTCCACACCCAACCTCAACCAGAACTGGGGGAGTTCGTCCCGGGCCACTGCTGCCCGCTGAGGCCCTCTCTGGGTTTCCTCCTCTTTCTTCCCTTTCCTTACGGCTTCGAAGTGAACACACATGCCCTGTGTTACAGAGCTGCATTGATCCGCCACCTATCAATTGTGTGGGACTTGAATAAAGAAAAAGTAATTGTTCCTCAGCTTTCCAGCTATTGGAAGGAGAGAAATGTGAGCACTCTTATTATGGTGCAGCGGTGGCCAAGGTAGCGATTTTACACGTGGGGACACAGAGGCAGACTCCAGTCGCAGAACAATAAAACCCCCAAGGTTTGCACCCAAACAGTGAGAGCAGGCTCTGCCGTGGTTAGCAATCCATGCACACACTCTGTGTCGGCCGGCTGCCTGACACCAGGGTGTGTGTGTATGTGTTTGCAGAGGTGTATTGTCTTTAGTTCTTAATGATTTGGGAAACAATGTGTTCTTTTGTCAGGTAACTTGATATGCAAATAAAATAATGAGGTGACTCAAACTCAGTCCTTTGCAAAGCAACTTCGGGAGCTGCAGTGCGGGGTGAAGCCTGGAACATTGTGGACACTCAACACATTCTGGCCGAATGTTCACCCTTCCTGAGTCCCTTTGAGGCTTGCTGGCAAGTGGAGCCCAGTCTGAAGGGTTCCTGGGTGACAGCAGCATCCCTTAGCTGAGTCACAAAATTAATTTTCCAACTAGGATCCTGAAGGGAGCACGAGCTGGCTTCTCCTTCCGTTTTGTCTTCCTCTAACCACACTTTCACCTCTGGACCACATTGATCCGGGCCACGCTGATCTGCGCGGACTTTGTGGTCTTGGCTAGAGGGGTGATTTTTCTGTTTTCCTCTGTCTTTTTCATCAAATCATTCCGTGCCTCTGCCTTGCAGGCTGAAGTGTGTGAGACGGTAGTCGCAGGTGTATTTGGCTTCTTGATGGTGTTGCTCATAGGGAGGTGATAGGCTACACTAAAAACTGGGCAGAATCTCGGTAACAAAATATAAAAGTCTGGTTCTTCAGTCTGTTTCCACAGACTAAAATTCCAGTGTGGAGCCGTCTCTTCCCGCAGATAGCTGAGCCATTCCTCTTTGCTAGGGCAGCTCTCAGGTAAGGAAGGGACCTTCGTTCACTCTTGTGGCGGTGAGTTGGTGCAGACATCTGGGTGCAGCAGGGTTCAGGGATTGGGAGGCATGTTCCTTGGACTTGTAAACAAAGGCAAGGGAGAGAGGCGCATTAAGCCCGCAGGGCCATGCAGCTGGCTGCAAACACTGTGGGGTGAGTGGGGTGCTGAGGGAAGCTTCCAGAACAGGGGTGGCAGCAAAAGGAGATACTTGCAGCTAAAAAGGAGCACCTTGCAACCTCTATGCTGTTGTGCATTCCATCCCCAAACAACCACTGAAGAGACAAATTCCTTTTCCTTCCTGTAGTTACTTGAGTCACTGGGTGGGCTTTCAAAATCTGTGCATTACACTTCAGCAGAAAATAGTGGTGTAATCAGAGTTAGAATTTGAGCTAGAAAAATCCTTCGATTGAGGTCATACTTATAAATGTCTTTTTGGGATAGCTGGAGAAAAATCAAAAAATAATTTTAGGCAAAAAAAAAGTAGATCCAATGTTCTATCATATTCAGCTATAGCCCACCTCCTCACTTCTTATAGAAACAGGTAGGATTTTTAGAAAATGTTTGAAAGGAAAACACACATGCACACAAATCCAAAAATTACCAAGGCTTTTCATTCAGTTGTAGGATTATATGTAATTTTTATTTTCTTCATATTTTTATAATTTCCAAAGAAATCTATATTGCTAGTATAATAATTATATTTGAAAGTTAAATATAATTTAAGCTACAGGCTTAAAGTTAAGGCTCAACTTATTCTAAAAAATTTTAAAATAGCACTATTATCATTGGGTGATGATACGGTAGATTGAAGTTATTCAGTATATCTTGGGTTTAGTGACGTGGATAGGTCTTGTATCTCAGGCAATTTCACCAATTGAAGGTATCCTGTATTCACTGACATGAAAAGAAGTATTGAATCCATTAATCGAACAAGTCACTGCCACTTACCAGTGCAACCCAAAAGACGTTGTCATGATAATTATACACCTCAGGCTACTCAAAGGGAATGTTTTGTTTGGAATTTGTAATTCACCCTGAGAATTTCTTACATCATAATCACAGCCATTATGACATTGACCTTCAGTAAACTAGAAAGTGGGAAGTGTTTTGTTTGTAACAGGCTGGAGTACTGTGTCACCGTGAAGGGAGCGTAAACTCAATCTCCCTTACCCTGTTCAGAAGAGCTGGTAGTCACTGAGTGCCTTCCATTGCCCCAGCCAATTTTTTCATAATCACTGTTTCTTTATATTACTTTTAGTATTGCCATTTTACAGATGAGGAGATGAAGCTCAAAACAAATTAAGCAAATCACTCAGTCATGCATCTAAAATGTGACGCTTAGCCCCATGTCTTTCAAAAAAGTAAGATGCTCTTTGAATTTTCTTACTTAAATGCCAGTTCCACATCTTACACCTTCTACACCACTTTAAGCCAGCACTTTCTAAATCAAGGTCTCAGAAAATAAGAGCTATTGGGAATGATGGTTATCCTTTATAATCTACTAAAAGTTAAACAAAGTCATTATCTTGTTATTACTGCAGGATTTATTGAGCCTCTATGTGTTGGTGCACACTGAGCCTGTCCCTGAGCTGCGGATGCAATAAGGAACGTATTTCATCCCACACTAAGCGGGCAGCAGGGATCTTGGAGGTGGGAGCAGGTGCAGGGGCCACAGCTAAGGAGGGCTGACTGTGCTCGTGGCCATGGGTTGTCACCGCTACTTGAGGGCTGGTGTGCTGGGTGCACCTGCTGACCTGCTGCCCTGGCAACACTTGGGAGCTTCCTATGGCACTCGACTTTGTGGAGTCCAGTGTCAGGAGCACTGTTCATGAGTCCAGAGATGCCGCACACACTACCATGCTGGCCGGTCACATGGAGGCTCACTCCAGGGCTGTGGTTCTCTTCACGTGGCCTAACTTCTAGGTCCTTTCCTTGTTCAGCACAGTGGCTGTTCCTCCTGCCACCTGCCCTGGAGCTGGCAGGGAGGAGAAAGCCCCAGGCTGCAGCTGAGAAACCCGGGCGGGGTCGCCCCATTGGCCGTTGGGTCTTGGGAAGGTCATGCCACCTCCGTGGGTGTATGTTGAGAGGACAGAACTCGGTAGAGAAAACGTCAAGGCCGCGGAAGTGCTTTGTTGTTCCTGCATGTGTGTGTTGATTCACATGTATATGAACACACACGTTGTGTAGTGTGTAAATGTGTGAAATATGTAGCATGTGACTGTAGCATGTGTTTACACAGCTGCTTGCATGGATGCAGGCGTCACTGTGGCAGCTGCTGTCCGAGTCCCTGTGCCACATCTTCCTCGTGTTATCAGGGGTTGTGGGCTCATGGCTGCAGGCTCCTTCTGGTTTGTTTTTCACAGCGTGAGAGCACCCGGCTGGGCCTGGGGAAGTGCAGCCACACTCAATGTAGTCAGTGACAGGGACTCTGACCCCTCCCCAACCCCCTGTTCCCTGCCTCATTCTGCTTCCCCACCTAGGCCTGGGGCATGGCCTCCTCCAGCCTTCCTGCAACCACCCTCGCCTGCCTTCTCACTGTGGTCGGATTTTACTCCTTCAGCTTCACTGAGCTGCCTTGTGAGGAGAGAACTGCGGGTCCCATGCTGTTAGACCTGATCCCCGCATTCCAGCACCTCCTCCGGGCTTGCCGTTCTCGACACCTTCCTTTAGGGAGCACCCGGCTCCTCGGCCACCCTGGGGCAGAACCTCCCACTCTTCCTCCCACCCCACAGTCTTCCTCTTCAGGCACCTCCTGGTGTCCTTCCCTCTGCCCATCACTAAAATGTCCCTGGCCTTCAATGACCCTGACCACACTGCGGCGTGCAGTGCCAGGGCTCTTCCCAGCTCTGAGCTGGGGCTCAGCCTCATTTCTCTCACCCTCCGACTCATGCCCTCCCCAGAGGGAGTGGAGTCCCAGCACCACATGGTCCTCAGAGCAGGGAGCGATGCAAGGCACAGGGCACTCAGAAGCCCCACACATGGCAATTCCTCACGCTCACAACTCCCCAAACACTTCACATTCTTTCTAGCTGAACAACAAGAACCCTAACAGAAGTTGCTTTACAGCAGGCCATGGACAGTGTTGTGTCGGCCACACAATTCAGCATTTGGTGGCGGACATGGACAAGGCTGGTCATGCTGTGATGGATCTGAAAACAATCTTTAAAGGACTGCTGGGTGTTCCTCTTTCTCGAGGTACACGGACAGGCACAGCTCTGGATTTGCTGGGATTGTTTGCACTTGGTTATTATCATGGGACCCTTGGGACTTGATTTGTAACAGCGAACTAACAAGGTCATCGCCGTTCATCTGTGTGGTGCCCCACTGCTTACAAAATGCCTTTTCTCAGTGCTCTTATCTGTACAGGGAGGAGGTAAAGAAATTGACAGCTCTTTCTTAATTAACTTTCGGTGTCCAAGGTTGTTCCCCCAAGGAAATCCAGGTTTCCCTTCTTTGCTCCTGTTTTTCCTTTGCTTTTTGTTGGTAAATCCTTATAGAATACTCACTATGTTCTGAGCACCTTACAGCGCGACCTTGTTTGACCCTCACAACCGGAGGAAGTATTCACTCTCAGTACTGCTCTCTCCCATTCTACAGATGAGAGCATGGAGGCAATTAAGTTGTACCAGGTGACACAGCCAAGTGGTGGAGTCATGGATTTGAACTGAGCCATGTGGCTTTAGGGTCTTAACTGCGATTCTATGATGTAGACATTTACTGAAATGAAAGATAATTTACTCTTGCAATTTATTTCGTGGAAATCACATTTTTCCATTTTCTTAATGTAACCCTTTAATGACTCCAAAAGAGTTTAAAATTATTCTTAGCCTTGCTTTTTCCATGCTAAGCGAATGCCATGTAACAGGCTTCAGCTGAGCCCGGAAACCAGCACCTGTAAGGCAGGAAACGTGTTTCCTTCCATGATCCTGATACTGCTGCTGGGACTTCTTTGTTACTGGGTCCCAAATATTTTTAGTTTAAGACTCTCTGTTTGAAATGTAATAACAATAAATCACAGACCCCACCTTACAGTAGCTATATTTTTGCTATCCATGCATTGAGGAGAGCCGCCGAACCCATCAATGGCTTCCAGAGAAAACTGGACTTTATTCATGCTTGCAGCTGTTATCACAGAAGCATGTGAAACCGTTTCTTTGACCTACGGAAAGTCACCTGTGTACCTGTGTTTCCACCTGCGCTCTGCAGCAGCCTTGGTGCCCACAGGCCTCCAATCTGGTGGTGCAAGGCTCAGGGTCATGGCTGGCTCCCCTTTCCATGTTGACTCCTGAAAGTCGGGGCAGGAGTGAAGGTCGTTTGTAGGGAAAAGAAAGAGATCAGCCTCTTACTGTGTCTATATAGAAAGAAGTAGACATAAGAGACTCCATTTTGTTCTGTATTTGAGATGCTGTTAATCTGTGACCCTACCCCCAACCTTGTCCTTACAAGAGACATGTGCTGTGGTGACTCAAGGTTTAATGGATTTTGGGCTGTGCAGGATGTGTCTTTGTTAAACAAGTGCCTGAAGGCAGCTTGCTGGTTAAAAATCCTACCCGTCCCTGGGCAATGGAACATCTTGGTGTGAGACCTGATTGTCTGCTCTGTTTACTGACATAGGAGAAAACCGCCTTATGGCATAAGGTGGGACTTGCTGGCGGGACTTGCTGGTGCAATGCTGCTAAAAGGTTTGTGGAGATGTTTGCATATGCGTATCAAGGCACAGCATTTTCTTTTGAACTTATTCATGTCACAGAGATCTTTATCCATATGTCTTACTACTAATTTTCTCCCTAAAATGATCCTATTGTCCTGCCACTCCCTTATCTTTAAGATGGTAAAGATAATTGTCAGTAAATACTAAGGGAACTCAGAGACCGGTGCCAGCGTGGGTCCTCTGTATGCTGAGCGCCGGTCCCCTGGGCCCACTTTTTCTTTCTCTATATTTTGTCTCTGTGTCTCATTTCTTTTCTCCAGTCTCTCGTTCCACCTAATGAGAAACACCCACAGGTGTGGAGGGGCAGGCCACCCCTTCAGTCGTTTCCTGGGAGTGGACCAGATGAGGAGGTGCTATTCCTTCTCCATGGAGCTGTTGATTTATTTACCTGTGAACTGGGAGCAAACAGGACTTTCACGTGAGGCTGAGTGAGTCTCTCAGGGACCACGGTACACAGCAGGGTGTAACCCTGGTGCCGGCTTACAGCCCGGTGCGAGATCCTGAGTGATTCGAGATCAGCTCCATAAGGGAAAATGAGGCCAGTTTCCCAAGATACTTTCACTTAAGAACGTGACTTTACACACTCCATGTGCCAGGGACCACGCCAGGTGCTGTGGGGGAATTTGAACTTCATGTTCCCTCCTCCCTTTAACATGCACACACACACATGCGCATAGACATACAAACACACGCACACTGCATGCAGACACACATGCGTACCAATTACAAACACACGCACACTGCATGCAGACACACATGCGTACCAATTACCTTAGACATACAAACATACGTGCACACTGCATGCACACACACATGCATACCGATTGCCTTAGACATACAAACACACGCACACTGCATGTACAGACACATGCATACCGATTGCCTTAGACTTACAAACATACAGACACTGCATGCACACACACATGCATACCGATTACCTTAGACTTGCAAACACACGCACGCTGCATGCACACACACATGCATACCGATTACCTTAGACATACAAACATACACGCACACTGCATGCACACACACATGCATACCGATTACCTTAGACTTACAAACATACACGCACACTGCATGCACACACACATGCATACCGATTACCTTAGACTTACAAACACACGCACACTGCATGCACACACACATGCATACTGATTACCTTAGACTTACAAACATACATGCACACTGCATGCACACACACATGCACGCCGATTGCCTTAGACATACAAACACATACACGTACACTGCATGCACACACACATGCATACCGATTGCCTTGAACAGTGCTAAGGTTGAGCCAACATGGCTAAGTGGTAAAGAGTGGCCACGATTTGGTTTTGCATCTGAGGGAGAATGTGGTAAAACATGAGGAGACTGAGGGAGGGGTGGACACGGGGACACCACTGTCCTAGTGCCTGGGCTGTGTGACCTCTTTGGGCCTCAGTTTCCTTTTGATGAAACCAGTACCTAAGGTTTCTGTCACTTGTCTTGGTCCAGATGGGACAGACCGTGTACCTCTGTGGTGACCCCAGGGCCTCCCTGTGACAGGGCCTACTTCTCACTCCTGTCTGCAAGGCTTCTTTCCCATGAGGTCACCGGCAGGGCTATCCTCGGCCACTTTCTCAGAGGTCCAGGGGGCTGGGAGACAAGGTTACCCCATCTGGAGCTCTACCCTCCCTAGGCTCTTTGTTCTCGCCGTGAGACTGGGGTGCAGGGGATAACTTGCGCCCTCCACAGTGCCTCAGATGCCAGGAGACACTTCCCTTCCACTCCATTCCCAACGGATAGGACACAGCCATACAGTCCCACCTTCCTATCTCCCCGGGGCCTAGGAAGGGGAAAGGTACAGCTCACTCCCAGCGGTGTCTTCAACAAAGGCTAAAGTCATCCGTCTGATTCTCTATGGGTCCAAAGATATGGAAGTGAGCTACTAGGTTTTTCAAAGGAAGACACAACATATTGCTTCCAGGCTGAGCTGCTGATGGTTTAATGGATACACGAAACAGATGCTTTCTGCTGCATGGTGGTTGTTTATTCTTTGGGCTGAATTGCGTGAGCATTTTGGTTCTGCTGCTGGAAGATGGATGCTTACATGACAACAATAGCAATGCTTTTAAAGCCATAGCTAATACACAGTGATTGCTTCTTTTCACCAATTAGCCAGAGATGTTTTCAAAATAATGTCTTTAAAAATGTATTTGGTAGATGAGTAAGCCAAGATTGTTATAAAGATTTCCTATGGCATAAAATAAAAGGCGGCCAGGTGGGGTGGCTCATGCCTGTAATCCCAGCACTTTGGGAGGCTGAGGCGAGTGGATCACTTGAGGTCAGGGGTTCGAGACCAGCCTGGGCAACATGGTGAAATCCTGTCTCTACTAAAAATAAAAAATTTAGCCGGTTGTGGTGGCACGTGCCTATCATCCCAGCTATTTGAGAGGCTAAAATACGAGAATTGCTTAAACCCGGGAGGCGGAGGTTGTAGTGAGCCTAGATCACGCCACTGCACTCCAGCCTGGGCGACAAAGCGAGACTCGGTCTCAAAAATAAATAAAAGGCAATTTCTTGCCATCATCACCATGACAACATTCAGTTTACAAACTCACATCCACCTATGATTAAATGCCATTAAAAATGAAAGGTTTCCATTGCAAACCCTCTAGCTCTCACACGACCACTATTTAGCCAGAGACCAAAGGCCTGATTGATTTTGCTAATGCACTTTCGAAAGTACCAAGTCCTGGAAAATTTCCTTTTAATTCTTATGGAAGTTTGGATTGAATTGCATTTAGGATAACTGTAAATACAGATACCAAAAACCAAATCACTGTAGTTGAGGATTATTCAGACCCTTTGCGTCTCCATTTCCCCCATCCGATTCTCCTTTCCCCAACTCAGTATGCATGCACGTTGCCATCAGGTTGGAAATGGGAAGAGGGATTGCCAGTGAGCAGGCTATTTTAAGCAATTCTAGCAAAATATGTGGTGCAGGAAAGATGAGCATTTTTGGCCGAGTCATTTTCAAGCTTTCCCGTGGCTTGCACTAATCTAACCTATGCTGGTTTCCTGTTGCCAGGAACGATAGAATCGACCTGGAGTTCTCACAGTCTCAAACCAGAGCGTGATGGGGGCGGGGGTGGTGCTCACGTACTCTGTGCGATGATCTCATCACCCTGACATTCAGTAGATAGCTTTGGTGAGTTCATCTTTGATGTAGTTCAATTGCTTTGCTTGACCCTTGGGTATTTTTTCTTTGGGGATTAGACCAGCTCAATATATCCTTAAAAGAAGATATTTACACAATTGTAAACACAATGTTTACAATTTCTTAAGAAGCCTTTTAATTTTACTCTGTGTGTAAAATAACCTAAAGAAATATTTGTTCACCAAAATGAGTCCACCTTCCTCTCTCCAAATTGCCATTCCCCAGGGGCCACTGATTTGCCTAAGCTGGGAACATTTCCCTACATGAGCTACGCATCTTTGCCAACCAATTGAAGTAGGTTACAGACAGCGAAAAGAAACCTTCCATTTTATTCCTGTGTATTTGAAACAATACCAGGGCCCCAACACCACACCTTCAAACAAAAATTTAGTAAAAATTTCTAAATCTCAATCAAACCTGAATACTGTATATTTTAAAAAATTAAAGTACTTATGAAGGACCACAGAGTTAAGTTTTCTGGAAAATATATTGTCCTTCCTCGACACTAGAAATCCCATGCAGCAGGGCTTCACAAAGCACAGACCTCTCTGTACGATGGTGGGAACGGCACTGCGTTGACCACTGGGCGAGGATACGGACTGGGTTGCAGCTGCGTCTTCCGCAGGAGCTGAGGCTGCAGCTGGTGGTAGACGGTGTGAGAAGACACCACCAGTGTGTTTCCAGGAAGCAGGAGTGCCTATTTCTGTGAAAGGCTGCACATATATTTTAAGATCCAGCATTTTCAAAGAGGTGAAATGTGGATGTGCATTCATTTCAGGGAAAAGAAACAGAACTGGGATTGTTTTAAAGCTCCTGATGATTTGACAGAGAGAAGTCAAGGCTGAAACACTCCAGCAGTGCTGAGACCCAAATAAAATCACGCATACAAAATTTGGTGAGACTAGAAAGAGCCTTCGTTTCTATTAATCCCCTCATGTTATTATTTTGTGCCAGCAAAAGTAGCAAAAGGTAATTGAGAAATTTTGGAAGACAGAGGCATTTTCTTCTGTTGCCATAACTTGGCCTGTGAACAAACTGTGCTCTATTCTCAAAGTAACAGCTCAGAAGTGTGACCGTTCTGCTTAGAATGTAATATTTGCCAACGACTCCAGAATAGAAAAAAAAGTGTATATAATGGCAGATGTATGGCATATGTTTCTAAAAACGTTATATTATAGGTTCTTGATAAAGTTCCTATAGTGGAAAGCAGGGTTAATGAAAAGAATACCTGAGAAAGTCCCTCTGAAGGACTGACCAAAGCTCCTTTCAGTTATTTACCTCAAGTATGTATGTATCTGTGTAGACCACACACACCTGCACACACACAGGCACACACACACACACACACACAGGAATGCAACATTGACCTGGATAAATGAGTTTTAATCAGCTCTGCATTCAAAGGAAAGAACATACGCCATGTGTG